GACTACGATCGATTCATAGTTCTTGCTTAAGACCGACTTTCAAGTTTAATCTTGAGCTCGGTCTTAAGTAAGCAAATAACGTTGCATAGATAAATCTTAAGACCGAAATGGCATTATTCAATGCACAGTTCTTACTTAAGATTTGTCTTGAGCCGGTCTTGGTCAAGTCGAGCAAATAGTCGACTTAAGACGGTTTTGTGAGGTTATGTGCTACATTGGCTGCGTTCGGAAACGTTATCCGAGTGCACACTAGTATACTCCCTTCTCTTTTCTCAGTGAGTTTGAAGAAGGGAGTATACCCGTGTGTACCCGGGTGATGTTTCCGTGCGAGTGGTGATATTCCAGTGTCGGGATTGCTGGGGATTGCGTCATTCTCGCCGTCGTGGCCGGTGGCCGTCATCATCGCGTCGTGTACCGCGACGATTAACCTTAAAGAGAGCGATAGGTGCAGTGGTGGTGTTTTCCCTCCAAGAAGGTACGACGAGCATTATCGCGTCGTGTACCGCGACGATTAACCTTAAAGAGAGCGACGGGTGCAGTGGTGGTGTTTTCCCACCGAGGAGGTACGACGAGTAAACTTGAGTCGCCGATATTCGAGGCGAGGAGGTGTGACGAGGAAAGTGCGGTAGTCATCGATGTGAGAGACGAGCAGCCGAGAACGACGAGGAAGAGCAGAGGGAGCGAGTGCGAAAGGGGAGAGCGAGAGAGCGAGAGAGAGGGACAGCGGACAGGCCGAAGCGTCGCAAGCCAGGAAGTTCCGACGACCGCTACTCCATCAGGGAGCTCCAGAAGTGGCAACGGTTTCGTCGGGAAGTATCGAAATCACCTACATATCACCTGTCAAATGCGATACAAATCCGTAATGTGTCACAACAACAGTTTTTAGGTTTGTTTCCTATCGCTGACTGCAAATATATAGTAATAAATAATATATATATATACAAGATTACTAGTAATTACTTATTATTATGTATTTTAGATAAGAGCAGTATGGAATGTAACATATTGGGCGAATTTGATATTAATTTATTTGATAGTTCTGAAAGCTCTTCGGATGAAGAAAATGACAATATTGGCATAATACGTGAAAAACGATATGTACGAGATGCTATTAATCCATTTACAGCTTATCGTGAACACGCATTCCATATAAGATACAGATTTTCAAAAGAATCTGTTATGTATGAACTACTGCCTTTAGTTATTGATAGTTTAACAAAGCCTGATATGCGAGGTCTTCCAATTGAACCAGTTATTCAATTACTGATTTGTCTAAGATTTTATGCTACTGCTAGTTTTTAGGTAACATAAATTCTTTGTATTACATGTTTTTAATTTTAAAGAAAGAATACAAATAATTGTATTATGTATATTGCTTTATGGTTTAGAAAGTAAACGGAGATCTTATGGAATTACCACAACCTACAATTTGCAGAATCGTATTTAGAGTAACTGCTACATTAGCAACTTATCTAAATACTTATGTCAAATTTCCGACAAACCAAGCAGCTATACAAGAAAATCGAAGATTGTTTAAAGAATTAGGATATGGTTATGGAGCTATTGGGCTTCCTTGTATTAATGGAGCTATAGATTGCACCCATATAAGATTATGTGGTAATAACTTTGGAGGAATAGCTGAAATTTATAGAAATAGAAAAGGTTATTTTTCCTTAAATGTCCAGGTAAGTTAATAAGAGTAATGTTTATTTACATATATTTATTCTTATTTTTATTTTGTTATCTTTTATGTGTAAGGCTGTAGTAGGTCCAAGAATGGAATTTTTGGACCTTGTCCCAGAATGGCCAGGAAGTCAACATGATAGTAGAATTTTCCAAAATTCTCGAGTTTTCATGCGATTTCAACAACGTGAACTAACAGGAATGTTAGTTGGAGATTCAGGATATCCTTCTCTCACATTTCTTTTAACGCCATTCAGAAATCCACAAAGCGAAGAAGAACAAAGATTATAAAAAAGCAGAATTTAATACATTTTAATACATTTTAAAGCTTCTGGAGGTTGATTGTGTATTTTAAAATGAGATAAAAATTGCAAAAGTTAAGAGATTGACTAGATTTCGACAAATAAAATGTAGATTAGTGAATTTTTTCACTGTTATAATTTTCACCTCGATTCAAGATACACAATCGACTCCCTGGTCTCTTGTCGTGATTCTCTTTATTTATGACGTTAGAAGCGAGAAAATACATTCTTTTAAAATTCTTGCAAAATACGATGACATAGAAAGATGACACTTGCAATAGACTATTATAAAATAGTCCAAAAACTTTTTTTTTACTCTACAATCTTACTTACAATCAACAAATAACCGCATAATTATTAATGAAGAAAATTGTGACAAATACCCAGAAGCTTTAAGAGATACACAGATAAAAATGTATCTTCTATTAAAAATTTCTTACTGTAGGTATAACGAAATTCAATCACGAACGAGAATGGTTGTGGAGAGAACGTTTGGAACATGGAAGAGACGATTTCCTTGTCTATCGAGAGGACTATCTTTAAAACTTTTAACATGTACTGGAGTCGTATCAGCTTGTGCAGTTTTGCATAATTTATCACTACATTTCAAAGACATTCTCCCAGAGGAACCAGAACCTAATGCAATAATTGAAGATAATGAGGAGCTACCTTACAATGAACCTCATTGGCAACCTAGAGATGGTCATATTATTAGGCAAAACGTAGTTCGAGAATTATTTTATTAACTATATTTTAATGATATTAAGAATCAAACCAGTTAATAGTAAATAATTACTTTTATTCTTCACACCTTATTACACTGTTTATTAATTGCGTATTCTTATTGCGTATTATTATAACTAAAGCGACGTATAATCAACATAATATATTAGTTTCACATTGTTAATAATTGTATATCTCATATAAAACTTATTCGAACTAATCAATATCCGAGACGTAATCATCTCCCCTAAAATTTAAAAAACGTTTTGAAATAAAATTTTTAGTTAGTTTGAAAGAAAAGTAATTACTTACATCTCTTTTTGAGCACGGTACTTCGCTAACTTAAATTTCTCCTGCAATTCCTTTTTTTCTAATAATAACTTTTCCATTGTAATTTTATTGATAAATTCTTCTCGTTGTTTCTTAAGCTTACACATCTCGATTTCATGACTGATTTTTATATTTGCCAATTCTATTTCTTTTTCACTAACTAATGTATTTCTTTCCATTTTCTGTTTCTTTGGATTCGAACATGAATTGGCATCTATACGTTTGCTTTTCTTAAAATCTATTAAGGATCTGTTTTCTTTGTCAATTATAAATATATCTAAAGCATGATTTCCAATTGTATGCATATGTTAAAAATAAACAACATTTTATTTTAAATATTTGTATAATTTTTGAATGATATTTGTTGTGTCGCCGGTAAACGAAAGTCGTGCACGACGTAGCCCGTAAG